AAAAGCAACAAACAAACTCATTTTGACCATCGATACAGCGGTTATAGACCCGACCTAAAGCTGAATTTGGATGCTAATAATATGTTTATATTTTTGACATAATAAGCGATACAGGGGCGTCATTTGCTACGGGGTTTCCTAAGTTAATTAAAAAGTTTGTTAAGGGAAGAAGAATCTTCTTTTCAGCTCTTTTAAATCGAAAAATAACTACCAATTTGATCTGCCCATTTGACTTAGTACACAATACAATCTATTTACTAGCTAAAAATGGGTGTGGCTTTAACACGAGGTACGCCTCTGTTTAGCATCGCATGTCTTGCCGAAATTATGTCATTCCAAATTCAAACGAAAGAAGAGACTCAGCATAAATGAATGACCAATTTTGTACGATATTTACATAAAGCCGATACACACCTCCCTTGTACCTGAAATTGTATTGAATTATGGCAAAATAATTTTTCACACATCGTGCGAAATCGACCGATTGCCGGATGTGCCACAAACCACTCGGCTGGCAGAAATCACCGAGTTGCCGACGATGATGAACGTTAATTTGTACGAAAACTCATTTGTTTGCCGTTTATTGTGCGGATTTGTTAGGGAAATTATTGAAATTTGCAATTAGTTGAATTAAATGCTAAGTGCTGAAAGCCAGCCAGCCGTTAACGACTGAGGCTAAGCAGTTTCTTCTACGAGTATAATATACCATTGCCCTATAGGCAGCGACCCTGGGTTCTATTTATAAGCCTTCCACTAAAGCGTTCACTAGCTCATCGCTGGCTATATGGCATAACTTGTTATGAATTTGTTACTTTACCACGTATTTATATAATTGCGAATTTCACTCGTCAGCAGCTGGGCTCAGGCTGAAGTTGCTTAGCATGTGAATAAATGCAATTAAAGCCCAGCGCTTAATAAGCATGACGTGGAATTTGCGCAGACTATTACGAACTGAAAAAATTGGGTATTTGCACGACGGCGGCGACAAGCTGCGCTTACGAATTCCCCGGCTCCTAAGATAATGATCAGCTCCCAATGAGTTGTCTAAATTTGCATTTCACCCGGCCACCATCTTGTAAGCCTTGGGCAATGCACCGAACTCCATATGTCGAGGGTCCCTATCGAAGTGTCATTCACGTTCGGATTTCAAATGCTCAACTTCGAGCTGCTTTAATAATGAATGCGATTGTATGCGGCATCTTTCTCTTTCTTTTAGCTCACTTAATTATTCATTGATCGGCAAATCTCGCTGATAAATATGTTTTTCGATTCGTTGTTCCAGAAATAAATGACAGACAACACGTGCGCGTTTATTATGCAATGTGCTAAATCGAAGCTTAAAACAAAGCAATAAAACACAACTCTATTCGATCGAATCGAAAACCAAAAGTTCTTGAGCTGCGGCCTCGAAATTAAACACTATTTCTTGTTATGTTTTGGCCTGGGGAAAATGTGAAGTCCGACAACGATCGAAAGACTTCGGCAACGAACTTAAGATGATGATTAGTATAGTTCCGTTTCGGCGTCGTATTAACGACTACTTTATGGACCATTAAGACGAATGTTAAGGCAGATGTAACGCCTGTGACTCACATGGCACTGGGGTCCGACCAGCTGAAGTGACGCTTTATCCTTTCCAGGTCCATTATGGGCTGCTGTGGCTGCTGTTGGCTCAAGGTTGCCTCTTTCTTCGGGGCCATTTTCTGTGGTTTCCGAAAGGGTTGCACTGGGCTCTGGTCAATGGTTCAATGGATTATGCGAATAGCAGTTGCACAACTGGTTTCCCTGCCGCAGATGCCAGTAAATAGTCTTGTTTATTTCGATTTGTTTCTGCTTACAGACACACACACACAGGCACATGCACAAACACCGATCTGTTTCTCACACAGAAATTCGCGTGCGCCTCCGCACAAAACAAAAGACTTAGGCAACGAACTAAGACTTCATATTAGGCGCGAGCGAGCGATCGTTTTCTTGCCTTTTAGCTTAGCTTTGTCTTGTAACAGCTGTTTTCTGGTTTTTGGTCTACAACGTGGACGCAAACGACAAAAGCGAGGGCGCGGCGACAACAACGGGCTACAAAAACACGTAATTTGATTTATAACTAAACTCTTCTTTTTTTTAAAGGTACACGTAATAAAAGAGCACAAAGTGATATCGTTTTTTGTGTCTACAGCTGTGGCTTTAGCTTTGCCTGCTGATACTTTTGCTGCTGCCTAACGCGCCGGAGTCGTGAACGAAACTGAAACCTCAAGACGCGCGCATCAGGCGCAAGAGCTGCCGAAATGCGACAAAAGCTGCAAAACAAGAGAGCTGACGAGAGTTGGTTGGACTGAGAGGGGCCTGCGATCGTGAGCGAGAGAGATTGTATTTTATTCGGCGCTAATATAGTTTTTTTTTATAGATAAACATGCATGGTTTTGGTCATGCACATGGGGCAGCAAAAATCGAAAAATCGAACACTCCAAGCCAACGAACTTGTAGAGGGAATGTAAATCTGTTCAATTAGAGGAGTAATTGGCCAAATAAGTTGTTTAATTTTATATACTATACTAAGCGTATTAAACAAACAGACATTTCCTTATAAAACCAAAAAAATTTTAGATTATTACCCTGAAAACCAACCTATACTTCCTCCTTGAAAATTTCCCAAGACATTAATCAACAAATCTTAGAAAACCTCTTACTAATAAGCTTATTTATAGCCATACGAAAAGCATATTTTCTGGTAACTTCGGCTACGCCCACTGGGCTTCATTTAACCATTTTTCACGGCACTTTTTGCGACTTAATTAAGTTATTACACGATGCCGTTAAGAGTCCCCCTAAGCGCCTTATGGCTCCCGAATAACCACCTCTTACTGTCGCGTTACGCGCCACAAAAACTATGAACTACACAGCACAGAGTGATGAACTTTAAAGACGATTATAAAGTTGTGGCCATTTACCCATCAACGAAAAGGTATCTTTATGGCAGTAAAAATACATTTAGTTTTGTACTACATATAAAAACGAAATTTAATTAGTAGCGCTAATAAAAAGCGAAACTAAAGCGAGTCGGTGCGGTGAGTCGGTGAAAACTTCTTCTCTACATAAAACTTGTATAATTCACACATTTCACTTTAACGTGACAGAGATCAAATTAGAAAATAGCTTACTTTAGTCGAGGCCATATTTTGAGATCTTCATTTAAAATCACAATGGAATTTCACGCTGCATTAGCCAGGCACTAAAACCAATCAAATGCATCAAAATCAAATCAAAACAAAGCAATTTCCCTGATCAAAAGTCGAACTTGAGATTTCCGAGTTTACGGCTAGTTCGGCGGGGTCAGTGAAAGCGGTAGAGGTAGAGCCTTGCGCAAATTGCAGCACAGACTAAATAGCCGCGACTTAAATAAAAGCTTATCTAAATATTTAGGGCCGTTTTCAATAGGCCCAATTGGTATGCAAATGGCCGAAAAACTGTCATAGCATTTCCCAAAATGCAAATGGAAGCCGGTGAGCTGCTCTCTTGGCCATGTGCTCTTCCACTCGCCGAAAGTATCGGAGGATGGGTTACCTCATCGGCGGGCGTCGTTAAATTGCAACAAGTACGACGAATGAAAAAAATCAATGAAGCGGCTAACAATCGAAGAAACTACGAATGTTTGGCCAAAGAAATGAATGCTAAAAGTGGCGCATAAAAAGAAAGTTTAAAGCACACTTTTTTACCCTTGCCTTTTGATATCGTTTCGCTGGCGGTTTTGAATTCGAATTTGTTTTTGTTTATTTTTTGGCTTGCAGCCGCGGCTGTAAATGGGTAAAACTGCATTTGATAATTACGAGAGTACCTCCAGCTCGGTGATTCAATAAAGGCGGTTGGTCGGTCGGCTTGCCTTTCCCGTCGATGCCGGGTAAATAACCAAAATTACAAAACCGCCACCGACTGCGCCAAAGAATTTGTGTCACAAGTTGCACAATGCCGAACACTGCCGACACTAGATTTCCATCGACTACCGTACACACGGCGTATGAGCAACGAGTAGGCTGCGGCTATGACTATGGCGATGGCGATGCCGAACAAATGCCAAACCGCCAAAGAAGTAAAACTGCAATTTGCAAACTCAGTTACATAAGCCAACTCGTCGACTGGGCGACCGGCTTGGCGGAGCCGCCTTGACGGAAGTCGGGAAAACATAGTTCCACGGGAAAATCGCTTTTCCAAGAGCATGAAATTAGTTGAATAAATTTTCAACAGACGGCTAAAATGCGTGTAGATATCAAACATGGTCAACGGGCACCAGCAACCAGCCACCGCTGAAGTATGTAGAGTAAGCCAATAAGTAAATTGGCCAATAGCAGGAGCCATTGTGGTAGTTGGCCATGGACAGGAAGTTTCATCTAAACGATCCGATAGTTTACGACCACTTAAAAACCAAGTTAATATGCCTATTTGTCAGCAACTTCAAATGGCTTAAAGTGTGAATGAGGTGCGAAGAAATTATGTGTCCACTGTTGTTTTTCATAGCCAATAAATATTTTATTATATTTATCAAATTAGTGAAATCCCAATTTAGTTTATTTCCAAAACTTTATTATCATTTGCGACTCTCCAAGCTGTAAATTTAACTTTCAAATTTATGAAAACTTCTAAATATATACACATTTTCTGAATGTTTTTTGTTTTTTTTTTCACTTTAAAAATAAATTTCCCTTATTTGAAAAGCGCGCCCACACAATATATATTTGTCTCACCTTGCTTGTATTGCTTATTCAGTCGCCCTCTTCTGTTTCTCTTTATCGAATATATAGTGTACTCGCTTGCAAAATAGGTGGCGCCAGCTTACGCTTACCGCCCTCTATTGAGAATTGAAATCAGTAGATGAGCGTCATCTATGTGGCTGTCAATAGAACTACAAGGTGTACCAAACATTATAGCATACTTTGTGATGCTTATGTTATCACAAAAAATATAACAGAAACACAATTCTCTCAAAAATGTACGGAAAGTGCTTATGATTTAATTCTGTACAACTTTTTTAAATACATTTAATCTATCTTCATTTAACTTTAAAACAATTATTCTTCCGATATGGCACAATATCCCAAAACCAAGTGAGTTTAACCAAAAAAGCCAATGCTATCATCAACTGCTATTATCATTATCATTTTTCGAATTTATCCGAATAGTTTGGGAGATTCCTATCAATAAAGTCCTGTGGCTCACAGCAGATGGTGAATCCGAACCCCTTTAGGATTAAAGATGGAGGGCAGGGAATCTCTTTACAGAACTCTGATGCGTCTGGTCTTTCGGTTGCCCATCCATTATTGGATGTCATAATCACGTACGTCATTTCCTGTTTTTCGCTGTGAACAATTTTGTAGACCCATTTGGGAACTGGATTTTTGCCCTCTGCTAGGTAAATTGGAGTCGGCTGTTGATCCATATTGTTCAGTTCCAGAATACCTAATACACCGGTAAGGATGCTCACGGTATCTTCGAATTGACGAACCCAATTTTCTATGGTCCTCCAATTGCTTCGATTGATGCGGTAGTGTTGGGGAAAAGCGTTTATGTACCTGTTTGTTTGCTCCATAACCCTAGGGTCGGAGAAGTCTGCGGAGGGTGTCAGGTGTCCTCTGTCGAATGAAGAGCTTTGGGGCGAAGGTATATACTGCTGACCAGGCCCCAAAAGAGCTTCAAACTGATTATAGATATTAGCCCGCTGGAAGGAGGCTGCATCTGCAGCGGAAATCAACCCATCACGGAAGAACTCCGTCTGAGGACGATCGGCTCCTGTGATTTGGGATATGAAGTACTTAAATAGGTATTGTCTTGCATTTAGTGACGAATGTCAACTTACTTGAATTGGTTGGGATATATGGACTGATGGAGTAATAAGCTGTCATTGTTTTCGGGTCGTAGCAGCTTCGAAAAATCTCAATTTCCTTGTCACCCACTATTAACCCAACAATGTACATAACATGCGGACAATTTGGATCATCGACAGTCTTAAGGAATGGCGTAGTGCTGCCACCCCCACATTTGGAAGTGGAATCAGGCGATTGTAGGAAAAATGTGGCATCCAGCGCGACAAGTACGACTAACCAAAATATATTCCTCCACATCTTCACAGGTTGATACAAGCAGTGGAACTGAGGAATTGAAGAAAACTGGCTAGACATAAGTTCGCCTGCACAGAAAGCACTGAATAATAGCGATAATTGTTATCTCTTTAGGTATTCTATAGTATTCGTCGGCGAGAACATTTTCAGTGGCATTCTGAATTCGGGGAATTACACTCTTTTCTTTTGGTAGATGATATTGAGCGAAAAGCACGGCAGCCGAGGCATACGAGTAAGTACATATAACACAAGAGAGGGAATGATGTAGTCAGTTGAGCTTGATGAGTCAAAACGATCGTACGTGACGACTGTGCTGTCGCGAAAATATGGAAGAAGCATCCCTTCTCCGATATATTCTTTATACAACTTTCGTTCTTTAATTTTATTAATTTCTAGTTAACTGACCTTTTAAATTTGTATTCCCGTTACTCCTAGAGGAAAAGGGTGTATTGTATTCGCTGGAAAGTATGTAGAAATGTAGAAGGAATTTTTTCCGACTCTATAAAGTTTGATATTCTTGAAAAGGATCAATAGCCGCGGAAAACTGTGAGGTTTATCATCAGTTATTAAACATGTTTTCCTCATGTTTTCACTGACTCGATTTTTTCTAGCAAAATGATTATTTGAAAATTAGATAAGCCACAAAAGGGTATCTTATAGTCGAGGAACTGGACTATATCGTTTCTTTGTTATTTTCTTATCTCGTGCAAAATTATCGCACACCATGACTAATAGTAAGGTGATTAATATTAGCGTTAAAGTGTATTAAATGTAGCTCAGTATTTTGTTTAGGTATTGCTCTCAGTGATAATGCGACTGTTTAAAAATGTTGATTGTACTATCAATGTTTAATCAATTCACTGAAGTGCTGAGAAAAACGCATTACCAGAGAGTCGTAGCATCTCAAAAATTAAAATTGCACTGCTCTCATCTCTCCTCGCGGAGTATAATCTTTACACTTTTGTGACAAATATTTGCTCTTTACTCTTCGTTTCATTCACTTGGGTATTACTCACTCACTAACCCACGTTAGCTGCTCTCTACTGCGTTCTACAGTCACTTTTAACTGCATCGGACAGCACGTCTGCATATAAATGACCTGTTTGATGTTGATTTTTGTTAGGCATTTGTTTGTTATTTGTTACATGGCAGCCAGAGTTAGAGTATCTGGACAGAGGACATGAGGCCCATTATTAAAATCCAGCTGGCTCATAATATTTCAAACCAAAAACTTTGTTAGTTGAACCAAAAATCTTAATTAGAATATTAGAAAACTTTTACAAAAAATATTAATACATCATAACGATGTTAATTAATATCTCCGTGTTGATCATTTTCAGAGTTCATCATACCGACTTGCGATATTCCTTTCAATGAAGTCTTTCGCTTCACAGCAGAAGGTATGTCCTGACCCTCTAAGCTTTAAGGTTTCCGGGCAATCAACCTCTCGACAGACCGATGATGGATCTGGTCTTTCGGTTTCCCATCCATTATTGGATGTCAGAATCACGTACATCTTTTTTTTTGTGATACTGTGAACAATTTTGTAGACCCACCTGGGAACTGGAATTCCACCTTCCGCCAGATATATCTGCGTTGGCTGTTGATCCCTGTTGTTCAGTTCCAGAATACCTAATACACCTGTTCGGACTCTAACGGTGTCGTTTAATTGACGAACCCAATTTTCTACGGTTCTCCAATTGCTCCGATTGATGCGGTAGTGTTAGGGAAAAACGTTTATGTATCTGTTTGTCTGCTCCCTATTCCTAGGGTTGCTGAAGTCTGCCGAAGGTGTCAGGTGTCCTCTGTCGAAGGAAGAACTCTGCGGAGAAGCTATATACTGTTGTCCCGGTCCCAAAAGAGCTTCAAACTGTTCATAAACATTGGTCTGCTGAAAGGAGGCTGCATCTTGAGAAGAAATCAACCCATCACGGTTGAAACTCGTCTGTGGACGATCGGATCCTTTATTTTGGGGATTTAATGTTTCGAAATCAGTCTTTATTTTCCCTCAATGACGGCAGTAAACTTACTCGAACTAGTTGGGTTAACAGTGTGAATGGTGAAATCTGCTGTCATTGTTTCTGGGTCGTAGCAGGTTCGATAGAGCTCTACTTCTAAGTTTCCCATTTTATAACCAACTACAAACATCGTTTTTGGACAACTGGGATCATTGACAGATTTCAAGAATGGCAAATAGTAATCCATGCAGTTGTCATTGGGCAGCGGTGGGTAAATTATGACATCTTCTTGGGAGGAGGACGATCTATCTCCATGAATGTTTAGCAGATCGCGACTGTCACCGGTGGGGGCAATCAGGGGAAATGCACCTTTCATTTTTGAACAGCCTACGGATAAGCTTTAAGGATTACGGTTACCCAATAGGTAGCTAGAGAGATACGTACGCCGAACAAGATCAGAACTTCACAGTTTGAAATAAAAAGTAAAACTGAGCACACGAAGAGAACCGTCTTTATATATACCGCTCCGTCCAAGAGAAAACCCTATATAAATCTTTCCCATTTTGTATAATTTTGTACGACGCAAATGTTTGTGTTCTTATCTCATGCTAACTTATAGACAAATATTTCATCCTCGCTCTTCTTTTCATCCACTTGGGCATTGCTTACTAACTATATTCTGCAGTTCAGCTCTGAGTCAGTGAAGCGCGCAAACTGCGCAGAGTGAAGTGTCTCTGGGCAGAGAATATGGGAGAAGACTGAAAGAAAATCAGGTATATAGATTTCTCATATATTCCATATATTTTACACATTTTCATCCAAAAACCTTGTTAATAAAACAAAAAAACAAAACTAAATATTTTCATGATCATTCTCAGAATTTATCTGAATATCCTTGAAATAAAGTCCTGTGGCTCACAGCAGAAGGTGAATCCGAACCCTTTTAAATTTAAAGTTGGAGGGCAGGGAACCTCTTGGCAGACCGATGATGGGTCTGGTCTTTCGGTTTCCCATCCATTGTTGGATGTCAAAATCACGTACGTCATTTCCTGCTTTTCGCTGTGAACAATTTTGTAGACCCACCTGGGAACTGGATTTCTGCCCTGTGCTAGGTAAATTGGAGTCGGCTGTTGATACCTGTTGTTCAGTTCTAGAATACCTAAGACACCGGTGAGGACTCTAACGGTATCGTCCAATCGACGAACCCAGTTTTCTACTGTCCTCCAAGTGCCCCGATTGATGCGGAAGTGTTGGGGAAACGCGTTCAAGTACCTGTTTGTCTGCTGCATATCCCTAGCGCTGACAAAGTCTGCGGAGGGTGTCAGATGTCCTCTGTCGAAGGAAGAACTTTGGGGCGAAGGTATATACTGCTGTCCCGGTCCCAAAAGAGCTTCAAACCGATCATAAATATTGGCCCTCTCAAAGGAGGCTGCATCTTCAGAAGAGATCAGCCCATCGCGGTAGAAACCCGTCAGCGGTCGATCGGCTCCTGTATTTTGGGATACCAAATTCTTAAATAAATATTGACTTGCATTAAGTGTCTGATGTCAACTTACTCGAGTTGATTGGGTAATACGTGTTTATGGAAAAATAAGCTGTCATTGTGGCTGCGTCGTAGCAACTTCGATAGAGCTCTATTTTCAAATTATCCACCAAATACCCAACAATGTACATAGTATGTGGACAGCTGGGGTCATCGGTAGTCCAAACTAACGGCGAAAGGTTATCTACACAGGCGGAACTAGGCAACGGTGGGTAATATGTGCCATCTTCCTGACAAGTGGTCCTAAACGTATTGGTCTCGCAGAGCATTAATCTTTCCTCATCGGGGCTTATAATACTTTCGAGTGTATGCCCTATTTGGCCAAGTAGGAGATTGTTTAAGGGATCACCTTTCCCTGCTGGACAACCACAAACTGTACCGCTTTGGGTAACATAATAGAGAGTTGACGCGAGAACTACGCAAGCCCAAAATATAATCGGCCACATCTTCACAGTTTGATATAAACAGAAGAACTGAAGCTTCGAAGAAAAACGGATAGAAATAAGATCCGCTGCACCGACGGAAGATATTAAACTAACTGCGATTATTGTTATCTTTCTAGCTTATTTTATTTAAGCTACTAGCTCGGGACACAATCAGAAGTTCCTTATTAAAATTTTATTATTTTCAAATAGATTCACTCATCTTTTAGGCAACTTTTGTGTTCTCATCTCGCGTAAAATAATGGTGATTCATACATTTGAGGCAAATATTTGATCTTCACTTGGCTATTACTTACTGACTTACATTCTGTCATTAACCCAAACTAGCTACTGTATACTGCGTTCTACTGCCACTTTCAACTGCATCACCGCTCCGAGTCAGAGAAACGGGCAAACTCGTCGCAGCACGCCCGCATAAACATGACCTGATTGATGTTGGTTTTAGTTGGCCATTTATTTGTTATTTGCACGTTACATGGCAGCCAGAGTGCAGAGTCTCTGGGCAGAGGACATGGGTCGAAGGACCCGTCATCAAAAGCCAGCCGGCAGCCATGACCAAACCGATACCGTTAGCAGAAAGGACCTAATGGATGAGAAGCTGGCCCATCTTTAAAGTGCACTCTCGACTTTAAATGGTATGGGGAAAATGCTGTACATTCAATTTGTCACATGCCAGGGTGCCGCATATTTGGACGAAATATTTTCGAATGTGTCACAAAATTTTACAGGGACGAGGACGAGGACGAGGACAAGGACGAGAGAGACGGGATCCCCACCCAATGGCAAACATGAATTATGCTTATCCACGTGTTAGGCACAATGGCTAGCCGACCTTCCGTCGGCATTGCCGCAACCTAATATTAATTTGCTGATTTATGGGCGCCCAAGCCACAGTGAGGCAACTATAAATTTTAATGAAAATTTAATAAATGCGTCGGACAGAGGGACTTTTTGCCCGGCATTGTTAACGTGGATATTTAAGCAATTATATGATGGCGTTGTGGCTTTAAGTGGCGAATATTTCAATACACTGCCAACAAAAACAAGTCATTAAAAATGAAAATAAACACACACACACACATACGATGGAATGGATTAGGCGGGAATGCTGCGGAAAAGCCACCGACCCCGCAAAAATGAAGCCTCATCCTCAGAGCAGCCGCAAAAACAAACTGGCAGTCCGGTGAACTGAACTCGGAGTCGGAAGCGACGGAGGAGCCAGAGATCCACCAGACGGTCGATACAAAATAGTTAAATATTTTATGCCACTGCTATTTTACGCTTGTAAATCAGAGTCCAAGCCACAGGCAGACAGACGGCTTGGTTCAAGCAGTGCAAAACCAAAAAGTTCGCATCGGAAAGTAAGCTCGAATAGTTGGGCTTTGCCAACCTGGCAGACCGCCTTTGCATATGCCTCCGGGATGGCGAGTGTATGGGTCTATGTGTCTACCATCATGGCATCCTGGCAGCCAGACCTGTTTAATATTAAAATCAAATTCCTCGAGATAAATTTCATTTTGGCAGGCCCAGATAGACAAATATTTGCCCGGCTGAGGCATTTTGCATTGAATAATTTACCGTCCTTATGCTGGAGCCACATGTTGAAGTAACATCAGCAGTAATAATAAGATAAACGCTTGTAAATGGAATGCAACGAATTAACAGTCATAAATTAAATTAATTGCATTGCAATCCGGTTAATAATTTAGACACCATTCCGGCTTTGATCCCATGCCAAAGTGTCTCAGGTGTCGAAAGGCATACAATTCAATCTGCCAGCTGGGGAAAGGGCTAGGAAAACATGCCTCTGGCAGATCCAGGACCTCAGCCAGGACAACAAACAAAGCACCATTGAGCTCTGTGTGGCTTGTTTTCTTTTTCGGGTTTCCCAGAGATCCCCTTTCCAGTTTCCTTTGCCATGGCCTCTTTAAGCAAAACGGCAAAACAATACAGGCTGACAGCCAGTCCGTAATGGATATCGATATTTTTCAGATAGTTGGTGGGATAGGTGGGCTGGTTGGATGTTGAATGTTGGATGCTACGGTTCCGGTTCCATCAAAGCAGCAGGAAAGCCTGACAGTCGGTACAGTTTCGTGCTGGCTTGCAGCGATTTTAACAAACAAATCAATTTATTTGCCAGATTACAATTTACGTGACTCAGTTACAAATTGCTTTATTTATTTAGCACAGCACAATGAGTAGACCAGGAATGGGGCAGGGAGTTGGGTGAAAGGAAGTCGGGACTGGTCTGAAACAAAACGTTGCCGGGCAAATACATCAATTAGATACATAGCAGCCGACTAAAGTAATGACTAATTGAGTACACGGTTTGCTCACATGCAACGCGCCCTTAAACAGGAATGTTGAGCCCGTAAGGCAGCTGTGTCCGGCCAAAACAATGGATTAATCACTGACATAACATGGTCAAGGAAAATGAAGTTGGAAAATCATATTTCGTTGCAGGCAAAAATGCAATCCAAATGTAATTTAATACATTTTATCGTTAAAGTTATTTCTTTTCCCATAATATAATAAACTGGCCACCCCACTCAAATTGTTATATTCTATTGGCCAAAGTCCCCGAAATCAATAACCATTGCGATGCAAACGAACCAAAGCCCAACGCCAACCATCTATGAATTCCAATTCATCAAACCCTGTAGAACAACAATTAAAAAGTGGGCGAGGGAAAACAAAACAAAGGGAGGCGGGAGAAATAATGAAAAATAAAGAGAATCGATCTCATTACTTAGCAACGGCCGGGAGCACAAAGCCAGTTGAAGTGGCTGTAAGTTTAATAACAGAAATGCTCAAAACATAAGCCACAAAGGCGGAAATCTCATAGAAATGTCCAGCGAAGGCAAACAGAACAAAAGTCTGCCAAAACCCGAAAGCAGAACTCAATCAGGCATAAAACATTAAAAGCTCCCCAAGTAGCACGAAAGAAATGGCACAGCAATCGCTCGAAAGAAAGGAAAATCCAGCTGAGAAGGTCCATGCCCCACTTCCCTCCTACACCCTCAGAAAAAAGCTGAGGAGGCGGAAAACTGTAGCAGGAAGGGCAGGCAAGTGGGCTGGCAGCCAGGCAGCAGGGTCAGTAGCAGAGGAAACGGAAACAGTGCAAGTTAAAGTTTGCAGCAACGGACTCCATCTTTGAATTAGTGAATTTCCGGTGGCAGCAACTGTAACTGGTAAAAATGTTTTTAATTCTGTTTCTTTTTTGCTATTTCTGCAATCTCGGTTGCATTGCAACAATTGTAAAGGCCAAAGGGAAAATGCTTCATCTATCTACTGGTCATTTGTGTGCTCTCAGTTTTAGTTTCTGTTTTTACTGGACAGATAGATGGATAGATGCATCTGTGTGTTCCATTGCTTCTTTCTTTTTTTTTTTGCTCAAAAGCAAAGGGGAATGCCGGAGTTTGCTTTGACTGCGATAAGCCGCGTTTCAGTGCCAGCAAATATGGAATCTGGCGGACAAGCCAAGTCAATGCTATCGGCCACAGTTGGTTTTAACCAACCCGAAAACAAACATTAAAGCCAGCCACAGGAGCTATCAACATGCTGGCCCGCAAATCGATTAACTTTGGCTTCTTAATTAACATATTTTGTGGTCCATGGGTCCATTGGTAAACTCCCGACATGTTGCTTGAATAAATTACATGCGACAAGCCGCAACATGTTAATCCCCACGTCAACACAGCCTCGGTTGATTCCATATGCACAGCCATCGCTCATTTAACTGCTTATCAAGTATGGATGGAGGTTGGAAATTGGAGAAGGCCGGTGGGTGGGTTGGGACGGTCCTGTCATGCGGTTGCTGGTCTCATCTCATGTCACTGGCCATAATAACAATAATAATAATACGTAATTCGGAGACCGAATGCCCACAACCTGGCGTGCAATCAGCGGATGCGCCTTAATGTATGCAATGATTGATATTATGGCCAAATCGAGGGTCACATGCCATGTCACGAATTAGGCCATGTCGTTGGGCATTAGTTTGGCCAGTTTGGCAGATGGATTGGATCGGTATCAGTATTGGTTTCGGCATTGGCATCAGTATCGGTATCGGCATCGGCATCGGTGTCGATGTCGGTCTGCTGAGCCCAAATTGTTTGCGTTAAATAATGCATTAAATTAAATGGCCGAGACTCCAAAGCAAACAGCTGCCAGGTAAGAGCAACTTCTGTGGCAACGGCACACGGATCCCATCCGATCCGAGAAAAATGTTCCACACAAACAGACCGTAAATGCAGTTGCAGCCAACATCCAACAGCCAACAACCAACGACTGACGACCAAAAACCAAACCGAAGCAACCCAAAAGCCGAAACGCACAGGCAAACCCGCAAATTGCATACAAATGAAGCAATTTGCACTTGAGGCTGCCTGCCTTCCAGGCGAAATCAATTTTCAATTAAGAATTGCATATTTTTGTACACATTTATATATAAAGTATATATCTGTGTTTGTGTGCCATTATGTTGTATGTGGGTGTGGGTGTGTGCGTGTTTGTGTGTAGACGCGAAACTGCACCGGTTTACACACTTTTACACATTTTGACTCGTGAAGCTGGCGCTGGTTTAATTGGAAAATCAAATTAAATTTCGAGGCTTAAGCACATTACGTATACGCCACGTTGCTTTCACATAAAACTTCCCTTTCGCTGTCTGCGCAAGTTAAGGCATTTTTAACAGCTCCCGGAGAAGCTCAACTCAAACTGAGAGCTGAGTTGAGCTCCCAAACCATCCGCATCCGTACTTTTAGCCATCGGCTGTTGCTCCTCTAAAAGCTTTGCCCCATTTGCAACAACAACTAAAAAGCAAG